AAAGGAAGTGGCTAAGGTAGCAAGAGAGTGTGTAAGAATTAAAGGGGAGGAGAGGCCCAGCATGAAGGAGGTGGCTATGGAGTTGGAGGCGCTGCGAGCAACGAAGGGTGAGCATTCATGGGCCAATGTTAGGTTATCCGCCGCAGGAGAGTCGAGCCCATTTGTCGAGAGTGGAAGTATCGGCGCTGTGGATGATAGCATGAAGCTGGAATTGCCACATGTTGAACATGGTAGATGATCTTATCATAAATGTTTTTATTTAGTGCAGATGAAGTAGTCACTTTTTCCTTTCTTAATTTAGATCTCGTGTCTTAATTTTGTCCATCAATTTTCAGTGGAACAAAATAAAGCTAGTAAATATAGTTAAGGTAAATGTGTGATCTTGTACAAACATAAAGAAAGTATTTCTTATAAAAGTGTGGAAATCTTTTTCTGGTATAAGTATTTTAAGTGAAGTTGATGACGATACATAATGGGTCAAAGTGGACAATTGTTACCAGTGGTCAATTGAGTCGTTACAAATAGTATTAGAGCTAGTTATCGAACGGTGTGAGGCACTGGTTGGAATAAGGTTAGATCATTTCCATAGTAGATGCGTTTTAAAATTGTGAGGCTGACGGTGATATGTAACAGGCCAAAGTGGACAATATCTACTAACGGTGGACTTCAGTTGTTACAAATGGTATTAGAGATAGACACCGGGTGGTGTACCAGCAAGGACGTTGGGCTCCCAAGGGAGTGGATTGTGAAATTTAACCTCGGTTGGAGAGAAGAACGAAACATTCTTTACAAAACTGTAGAAACGTTTCCCTAGTAGACACATTTTAAAATGGTGAGGCTAATTATAATACGTAATAAGTCAAAACAGACAATGTCTACTAACAGTGGGCTTGAGCTGTTTCAAATGATATCAGAGTTATTTATCGGGCAATGGAAGACATTAGTCGAAGTAGGGTTAGACTCTTTCCATAGTAGACGCTCAGTTAACTATGAGCTTAGACTATGGACTATTACAAACACCAAATTCAAATTTAAGTTCCATTTCTCCACCCTAATGATCAACCAAAGCTTTCATTTGAGAGGGAACCAAATTCAAAAACTTGGCGACAAGTAAAAGAAAAAAGAGAAGAAAGAAGAAAGAACATTAAACAAAATAAAGCTTCCACTTCTCCAACAACTTTCCCTTTATATGTTCAAACATTCAGCCTTCCCATTTTTGTGCAATTGGAAGACAACCCACAAATCAAAATGGGATGTTGCATTAGCAAATGCAAACCCAAGACCATCAAAACACAACCTCGTTTTGATTTCAACAACCTTGTCCGACACAAGCTCGCTGTCATTCCTCAACCACCTCCATTAACAACAACATCATCAGCACCACCTCCTCCTCCTCCTCTCTCTCTTAATAACAAGATCTCTCCTTATCCTCCTTCCCCTTCTTCCATCTCTTCTTCAACTACAACAATCCCCTCTTTCTCACCTTCAACTTCACGTTCTCTTATTTTCTCCGATCACTATTTAGGCTCGTCTTATAACCACAACTCTCACCTCCTTCGCATCAATTCCCTTAAACCTAACCCTTTTTCGCTGCCCATGAACCCCGTTTCTCCAGTAGTCCGCCAATTGCCACTGCATCTGTCTCCCCAAAGAGTGTCGAGATCAACAACCCTAAAGAGAGCCCGGCCTTCACCTCCGTCGCCGGTTCGGCAAAAGAGCTTGAGGAAGGAGGAAGACCTCCTTCGCTGTCACCAAGTAGGCAGTCGAATGGAGAGAAATGTCTAGTGGCTCTGACTATCGTCATGCAACCGATCTTAAAAGTCGATCAGTATATTGAATCATGGGTTGATTTCTCAATCTCCCCTTCTCTTCATCTATTGTATTTTTTTCTTAAAACTCATGTATGTTTGTTACTTAAAAATTAGGGAAAAAAAGGTTATCTCTAAATTTTAATTATTAAATCTTTCTAAGCTCACGAAAGTATTATATGATTAAGATTTTTATGATTAGGGTTTTTGCATATTTATTATAGAGAGTCCATACCCATAATAGTTTTATTCACGAGCAGCCTTGATTGATTACAATCGAGATAGCTTTTTTACCCTTAAATTTTGTATTCAATAAATTTATTTTGTTTTTAAATAAGTAAATAAAAAAAAAAAAGACATTATTCCCCTCCAAAACCTAACATTAAAAAGCATCAAGCAAAGTAATTAACCTCTTTTAATGTAAGATTAGTAATAATAATAATAATTGTTATTTGTTAAAATAATAATAATAATAAATAAATAAATAATGTCTAAAAAAGTAGTCGAAATGGAATAGAAAACTTAAAGTAAATGGCATAAATTGACTACCGACAGCGACAGAATTCCCGCTATTTATGGAATGGGAATATTCTGTACGGACAGTATCTTTTTTGGAAAAATAAAATAAAAAACAAATCATTCGAAAATGATTTAACCAATCACTGTCGTCAAACGGCAGCCGTCAACCATCTTTCACGTGGGATTGTCCGTATTCGATCCAAACCCACTTTTTCTTAGTTTCTTTATAAATAAATAAATAAATAAATTTGTGTCCTGAATTCAAGGACGAAACGGGGGCCCATAATCAACGTGTCTTTGACGGTTGAACACTTTATTTATTTATTTATTTTAATTACAAATTTAAATTTATATTTATTTAGTCTAGTTGAATTTTAAAATTTAAGTTTATTTCATCCCGTTAAAAATGTCACCACCATTTGTCCCTATTGAACTTGTTTGCTTGTATGTGTGCATGATATATTATGTGTTAGCTTCAGGTATTTGACTATATATTCTCTCTACAGAGAGTGTTTATGTACTAGGTCAGAACGCATTTAGAAGACTAAGCACCTTAGGGTCATGAGCAACGGCCAAAGGGTTTAGACTCTAGTGCTCCCAGACCAAGAAAGACTCGAGGAGTTAAAACAGAATAGCCTAGAGACAAAAGCACGTTATATCACCTAGCCACTGTAAGACCCAATAGACCTCCTCAGCTCCCAAATATGACTAAGGCGAAGTTTAAATTATGGTTTACATGCTTAGGAGATCGATAAGAAAACCTCCCTAGCAAAGTATGTACGAGAGAACATAGTTGAGATTAGGGCACTACAACTAGTGCGGTTTACATGTTGACCCAGATCAATACATTTCCAGTAGACCTTGCACCAAAGATCGTGAGCGATCAGAGGTTTAGACCTATGTGCATTCAAAGAATGATTTGGATTAACGAATTTATAAAGAGAGATTAAATATTTCTTGGTCTAGTCTTATACAAGCTCATTGTATAGGATACCCCATTTACATGTCTCCACATGAATGATTTGGATCAAATCATTTGTAACGATTACAAAGTGGGCCGTATCAATAGTGTTACCAGGATAAGACACCCAACCTTATCCATATACTATAGACTCTTTAAGTTATTACTTGAACACGATCCTCTTGTATGTCAATCACATATTGTTCAAGATTACATTAATAACCTTGGATTTCCATACCATGGATAACAATTAAATTACAAATAAAATAATATAAATTATTATTAAAAACTAAATAATTAATTACGAGCCTTTAGGGTATAAATCCCAACACCAATTGCAATAGATAGCATTGGAACCTAGGCCCAAACTTCCTAGAGCCCAAAGTAAAGCATATGGATATTTACTAGGTTAAAGATGTGATGAGAGTTTACAAGTAGGTTACATAGTGCGTACTTTTATACTCTCTCCTCTCCTCTTTCTTTTATAGGTGTTCGTAGGCTACCGATCAAGGTGAAGGAGCGTTCGAGAGCTGTGCAGTCACATAGGGGTCATTTCAAAACGTCAGCCCAATTTTAGATTTTGGAGTCTTTTGTATCTTCTTTTTTTAGTCTCAATTAGATTTTTGAAATTTCTTCAAAAAAGGGGGGGACTTATCCCATTAAAAATTGTCTTAGAGAAATCTAGTGTGTTTCCGTGAAATTCACACAAAATAACAAGACCTAAAATACATAGATAGACTGACACCTGAAACGATTCCTTTGTGACCGCACAACGCTTTTAGCGTTCCTTGCCTCGATTGGCAATAAGTGAACACCTGAAGAAAAAAAAATATATATATATGGAGTAGGTATAAAAGTACTCAATAATTAGCCTACTTATAGGCTCTTATCAAATCCAATTTCTAGTAAATTCACATGGAAAGTTCAAACCTAATTCTATAACTATTAGAGTTTCTAAGAAGGCCTCGAAATTTTGAACGGTTCTCTTACTCGTCACAAACCTAATTGGAGTTAGAAAGTTGTTCACCAAATTCTAAGTTTCAGATCCGTTGAACAACTTATCTCATATATAGGGTAAACTAACTTGTAAAGTTGTACTGTTATTGCGGCCGGATCTCGTAGAACAGTATAATATCACATTCTAAACATAGTTATGCAACTTCATCCCTCGTAGTAGCCTTTGTCCTCACATTACCAACACCCAAACTCCCCTTTTCCCCCTTTTTTCCCCTCCTCTACACCCCACGAGATGACAACTATTTTTCACACGAATACATATCGTATCTCTAATCTATACCCGTCATCCAATATAGTTTTTTTCCTTATTATCGTCCTCAAACTTTTTTTTCTTTTTGTAGATACTAAAGCTATGTGGTTCATATCGTGACTCAAATTACTTTAAAAAAAAAAAACATTTTAAAAGTAAGATAGTATAACATACATAAATTGACTTTAATGTCTTCATCAAATAGAACCGACAAAAGAAAAAAAAAATGGTTTGGCGGTGGGTGAGTTGTTGAATTACACTGAAATACGGGAATTCAGTCCCTGTGGGTATGCTTTTATAATTGAAGCTAGGAGGTTCCAGTTTTTGTCAAGTTATATTGATAAGTTTGAAGAGAAGGAAGTTGAGGTTGTGCTTAGTTGGGGCATTAGAAAAGAATTAGAACTTGATTGTGGACTGAACGCCAGAAGGAATAGTAGTATCTTTAATGGAACTCATTATCGTTGCCAATGCCTCGATGGTTACAAGGGGAATCCATATCTCCGTCGCGGATGCCAAGGAAAAGCCTTATTTATCTTTCGAGTTAGGTGAGATCTTACATTGGTTGAAGAGGAGAAAGAAGCATTTCTTATAATAGTGTGGAAATCTCTCTCTAGTTGACTCGTTTTAAAACTGAGGCGGATGACGATATGTAACGGGCCTAAACGGATAATATCTGCTAATGATGGGCTTGGGCTTGAGCTGTTACAAATGGTATCAGATCTAGACACCGGACAGTGTGTTAGCGAGGACGCTGGCCCTAAAGGGGGTGAATTGTGAGATCTCACATCGGTTGGAAAGGGGAAAACCTCTCCCTAGCAAACGCGTTTTAAAACTATGAGGTTGACGACGATACGTAACGGACCAAAACGGACAATATCGGTGGACTTTGGCTGTTAGAAATGGTATCAGAGCCAGACACCAGATAGTGTGTCAACAAGGACGTTGGCCCCCAAGGAGGTAGATTATGAGATCCCACATTGGTTGGAGAGGAGAACGGATTATTTCTTGTAAGGGTGTGGAAACCTCTCTCCAGTAGACGCGTTTTAAAACCGTGAGACTAACGACAATACATAACGGGTCAAAATGGACAATATTTGCTAGCGGTGGGCTTAGACTGTTACAAATGGTTGGACGGTGTGCCAGCTAGAACGTTGGCCCCCAAGGGGGTGAATTGTGAGATCCCACAAGGGGAACGAAACATTCCTTGTAAGAGTGTAGATTGTGAGATCCCATATCAGTTGAAGAGTAAAACGAAGCATTCTTAGATGTGAATGAATGCAAGTATGGATGGCTGAATGAGTGTAAGTACAAGGATAAGTGTTCTAACACCGAAGGAAACGATACCTGTCATTGTCCTAAGAACTTCCATGGGGATGGAAGAAAAGGCGGAGAAGGTTGCACCAAAAATTCCACCTCTTCCATTCTTATCATAATTGGTGAGTTTTTATATGTTCTTCACCCATGTTTTTCCCTATAATATACTAAACAAACATACAAATAACATGCAGGAATTGGGTTAGGCCTCGCAGTTCTACTAATAGCCACCACAACCACATACTTATGCTACAAGAAGTTGAAGTTCATCAAACAAAAACAGCGTTTTTTCCACAAAAACGGAGGCTTTGTGCTTCAACGACAGCTTTCTCAATGCAATTCACCTAAAGACATCGTAAGAATCTTCAGCCAACAAGAGTTGGAGAAGGCCACCAACAACTACGCCCAAGACACCATTGCTGGCAAAGGTGGCTACGGTACTGTTTACAAAGGTGTCTTGGAGGATGGACTAACCGTTGCAATCAAGACATCATGCATTCTAAGATTCGACCAACTTTCAAGGGTACTACTTTGGACTTATGTCGTTCGTGACAGTTTTACTAAAAGGAAACTAACTGACAAACTCCCTAGTAATCTCCATAGAGTATAATCATACAACACAAGACATTATACGCTAGCTCTATAGTTATTTGGACCCCTGGCAATCGTTTCATGTTTATGATTAAGGTCTAGTTGGCAAGCCCTCAATCATCCCCGCTAATTCACATATATGAATAATAATCATAAGTTTCAAGATTGACCAACAAGTACAATTGTGGGCTCTTGCCTCCTTTGTAACAAGTTCATTAAAAAAAACCTAACTGACGAACTTCGTAAATAATCCCACATAGTACAATCATATATCTTAAGTCATCATAAGTCACTTCTATATAGGGGTGTACATGGTCTGGATTGGATCGGGTTGAGAGATTTTTTTGACCCAACCCAAAAGTTTGGGTTGGTTGGATCGGTAACCCAACCCAACCCTCTACTTTTGGTTGGGTTCAGGTTGGGTCTGGGTTGGATTGTTAATTTTATTTTTAAGTTTTATTTATCTAACTTTTATAACCATATATTTCCAAATAAGCACTAATATATCTATAATTATTGATAATAAAAAAAATAGTAACATATTACATTTTAATGCAGTGGTTCTGGGTTTCCGGCGGGCGGCGGAACAGCGATATGAGGAAGTTCTTAATGCAGTGGTACATCATCGTCTTCACTAACTTCCTCTTCTTCGGAATTACAGATTTCCCTTTTCCGACGCCGGCTCTGTACCCGTGAGAATTGGTCGACGTCACCGCCGTCTCTGGGATCAACGGAAGCACAGATTTCGCTTTTCCGCCGCCGGCTTTGTTTCCGAATACAGGCCTGGTCGACATCACCGCCGTCTCTGGATTGGCCGACTTGATACGGGATTGCAGGCTTGGTCAACGTTGAAATTTCTAATTTCACCGGATCGATTGGAGCAATGTAGTGGCATTGACGGAGGCCGGGTGGTGGCCGGTCGGGTATCACCCGATTGTGGTCCGGCGAGACTCTGAATCGTACAGCTTGTGGGTATTTTAGGTCGGTTGTTTCTGAAACTGGGTTTGTAGCTGAGTTCAATTCAAATAGACACTTTGCTTTTATAATCATTTTTATGTTACTGTTCATATTTATTTATTATTTTTTTTTCACTAAATTATAGAAAATTTCTCTATAAAAAAAAAAAAAAAAATTTAAAACCTCACATTATTTTTTTACTTATAAATTCATAATCTTCCCTTTAATCTTTCCTTAATTAGTCAGGATAATACTATTTGAATATTAAGTAGTCAAGTTAACAAAGTGAGAACAACCCCTATTGTTTATAGTCATAAAGGGTCTCTCTGAAAAGTTAGGAAGGAGGTAAAGGGACGAAAACCCGACAAAATGCCTATAATATAATATAGTAAAAAAGAAAGTACAAAAATTAGGACGTTAAGGTTACGAAATCACTTAGAAGATGTAATTCTAATAAAATTTCCAACTTAAAGAATCAAAACATATCTAAATGAAAATGATCGAGTAGATAAAGTTTAAAGCTTAGAATACTAATAGTTCTTTATTTATTTATTTGGGTAAAATTTTGTGAAAATCAGCGTATATGAAGCTTCCAGCAGCTTTCCAATTCCTTCAATTCTTAAAATTTTATTTATTTTCTCAATAGAAAATAAATAATAAGTAGAAATAATGGAAATGAATGCACATTTTGCATAAATTTGAATTACATTTGTATTTCTAACATTTTAAAATCAATTTCGCATAAATTTGGTGGGGAAAGTGTTGTTGGTAGCTTCCTCGAACCTTCTGTCGAATCCCATCCTATGTTATGGTATTAATTAAATTCCTACGTAGATTTTTTTTTTTTTTTTGAATAATTTAATAATTACGTGGACCATAGCCCACATGATGATTTGATTGCAATGATGTCATACCGCATTAAAGTAAAGCATACGGAAAAGAAAATGAATTAAAAATGAGGACCCAGTAAACTCAAGTCAACTAAATATTTATTAACCATTACTTAGGGTAAGATCTCGATACTTTACTATACAGATCAGTCAAAAGTGAAATGACTTTTTTTTTTTTTTTTTTTTTTTTCATTTATCTCAAATTTTGGAACCATTTGATAAACATATGTTTTAAGTGGATTAAATTTTTTATTAAATTATATGAATAAAATTCTACCTTTTTTTAAATTATATATTTTTTTTTAATGGTCGTGGGGATTTTGTTATTTAATTTTTATTGTATTAAACAATATGAAGTTATTCAGTCACATCATCTACAATTTTACTGATATGAAAACGCGTTTTTATTTTATTATTTTTTTTAAAAATATAGTGTCTAAATTTTATATTCCTTTCGTGTCCGACAAGCTAACTGCATGTAAAAAAAAAAAAAAAAAAGGTGGTGGGGATAAGTATAAAATTAGCTTATTAATTTAGGAAATATTAATTTCTTTAATTATTGAAAATTATGCTTAATCTCCATAAAATTTAAACTAAAAGAAAAAAAATAGAAAAATGACAGAAGAACATTAGACAGCATGTTAAGAATGAGAAACATAAGTGAAATTGAAAGTCTGATCTTCATTAATATTCACAACTTTGAAAAAGATATAAGACATCAACTCACTCTTAGAGAAAATAAACTAGTCAGATATTAAGAATAAGATAAAATATATTCCACAACTAAATTTATATTTTAAATCAAATTTCGTAGTTGTTGTGTCGACAATTTGGTGCGTCACGATGTAACCAACCCAACAATTGACTCGTATATCATTATCTTCACCTGGTTTCTCCTTGTCGAAATTGCACTACCAACCTTCTGTGGTGGCCTCACGGCGGCGGTGTCCACGTTCTCGAGTGGCAGGGTGGTTTGAAGGGTGTGATGGAGGTGATTTAGAACTGGGATTTCCGGGTTAACCCTGGTTGCCATTTGATCTCCTCGGATTTGGGTTTTTCTGAGGTTTTTATACCCTTGTCAAGTTGAATTGAAGACGCCTCATGGTCGGTTTTGGTTGGAGGCGAGAAGGTTCGTAGGATGCTTCATCTCTCCATTGGTTTCTATAACGACTCCCATTTTGAGAGACTTGACGCACGAACTGTTACTCACGGATGAAATAAGTAAAAATATTTAAAATTTAAACATTTAAACGTATGTATGCATATCTGAAATTCAATTAAACTAGTAATAAAAAAATATATTATCTTATAAAAGACGAATCGAGTTACCAAAGATGAATCGGGTTATAAAAGATGAATTGGGTCACCAAAACACTATATTAGAAGTTTAAACTATTTGAAATGAACGTCTCAATCTTCTTCCTCACATCTCTAGCAAACTTTGTCTCCACCCGTGCTTCAAGCTCGTTCCTCTGTTCTTCGAAAATATGTCAAAACTCCAAGCGAGATGGTACGAGTACTCATCTCCCTCGGTAAATCTCTTGAACTCTTGCACCTCTGCCTCTTCTCCTCATCTCATCTGAAATGTCTCGACCTCATCCAACCCTGTTTGTCCTCTTTGCAGTATTGTGATGCCACTTGCCACAAGATACGACCATCGGTGTCACACGCAAAATCTGTCGGTCATTATACTTTAAGTTTTGTGTTTAATAGTTTTTCAACCTATTTGAAATTATATTTTAAAATCGCAAATTTATATAAAATTGAAAGTTTAGGACACAATGAATCACAAACTCAATCCTGTGTAGAAGACCCTTAATAGTTCTATCCATACTTTCTGCTACTCCATTTTGTTAGGTTGGGTAGGCTACTCTTAAAATTGATACCCAAAATTCTTGGTTGTTGTCGGTTCTTAAAATTTTAATCTCACTGTAAAAGTGTCTCTTTAATTTTAACAAATTGGTGTCAAAGCTTGGAATCCCTCTTCAATGGTGAAAGAAAATTAAGGTTGTTCTGACTTCATAGAAAGCTTTGTGGGCAATCGACGATCCTAAAAGTCTTCCAAGCTCACTCACAGTTGCATAAAGACAGATAATGGAAGAAGCTGCTTAGAGAGAACTTATGTAACGGCTTATAGCTTACCACTAGTAGATATTGTCTTCTTTCGGCTTTTCTTTACGGGCTTCCTCTCAAAAATTTTAAAACGTGTTTGCTAGAGAGAGGTTTTACACCCCTATAAAGAATGCTTGGTTCTCCTTTCTCAACTGATGTAAGATCTCGTAACTTATCTTGAATTTGTTGAAGGGAAGATATTGATGAGTCAACTACCTAAGAGATTTTGCAGAAACTGAACAAAGATATTCCAAACAAGTTGTATGTAAGTGAATGGCTTTTTATATTGTAGGGTAACATAGCTATTGATACCCTTTGTAACAATTCAAACCCACCACTAGCCGATCTTGTCCGATTAGGCCCGTTAAGTATCTCAGCTTCAAAGAAAAACAAATCATTTGAAAAGGATCTAACCAATCACTGCCGTCCGAATGGCAGCCATCAACCATCTGACACGTGGGGTTGTCTGTATTCAATCCAAACCCAAAGAGGCTGCCACTTGGGGCCTATAGATTCTATATCCAACGCAACTTAGATAATTTTTTTTATTATAAATATAGGTTGAACACTTTATTTATTTACTTTAATTGCAAATATTAAATTTTTATTTATTTAGTCTGGTTGAATTTTAAAAATTCAAGTTAAAAATATCACCATTCGGCCCAACCCAAAATAAGCCAAGGGTCCAATGGAACCTCTAACTTGGGCCCAGGCCCATTTTCTATATGAGCTTCAGGACCCAAAAGTGCCTGGCGTTATCCAAGCCCAATAAGCCATCAATTAATTAATTAATTATATTTATAAATAGACATTAATATCGTCCCTATTTTCAAGAATCAGAAATAATTAAATGAGGGAATTAATAAATTTCCATTAAATCCAACCGTTACAGTTAATCTAGTTGAGATTATCTGAAGCGATTTAATATTTTAATAGAAAATAAAAATAATAAAAAAGGCAGCCGCTTGTTGACGTCATTAATATGACGTCACCACCCCCAGCATTCGGATTTATTTTAAGCATTTACGGCGATGCCCCCACCTTATCCATTTATTCATTC